TCTAAAATGGCGTTGTCATGTAATTTTACGAGAATTAATTCCCCGTTACATAAATCTCGCAAACATTAGGTTATCGATAGATCTGTCAACACTTCATAAAACATTTAACCTCCCTGTTTAAAAATGCTTTTCTGCCATATTTTAAACTAAAAGTAATATCCATTTAAATTCAGATTAATTAATCATTCAATCAGCTAATCTTTCTGAAATAGTTTCAGAAAACTATATTTTATTTTTGAAATATATTTTAATAAATAGAATTATGTTGTGTTGAGAGATTTGTCAGTATGGGTGATTTTAGCAATTAAAAGAATCACTCCAATCAATTTGAATTCGGTTTTAAATATCGCTTATTGGAAATATTAACCATAGTTGCTTGGAATTAAAACTAAAATAAAACATCAAGAAAATTTTTTTGTTATTTTTTAAATGTATTTTAAGACTTATGTATAGCTTTTCTTGAAGGAACCTATATATATATATATATATATATATATATATATATATATATATATATAGATAGATAGATAGATAGATAGATATAGATATAGATATATATTATTTCAAACGTTATTTTTATCAGGTACCTGTGTTTGAAATAGACGCCCCATTTTTTTTTAACTGTGTGTATTGTGTCTATCAGCCTGCACACTCGAGAAAACTTAAAAACAGTGCTCTCTGGCATGGTTTGAACCAGCGTCCCCCTTTATGAGAGAAACCAACTTTTATTCCGTGCATTTGTTTAAAATTAAACTACATCCTGGCCCATAATTATTTCTACATTATAGCTTTTAGAATAATTCAAAATATGCAGTTAACACAATAAACTGGAAGCAGTAACACAATAAACTGGAAGCATCTAACCTTGCCAACCATAATGGCCACTGACCAGCATAGATCAATAGTCGAGCTACAATCCAACACACATAGCCTGAAGATTGTATTCATGCATGAAACAGAGTATCGCCAAATGCTGTTGACCTCAGTGTCCACTTATATTTACACACGCTTTAACGCTGATGCTGAGCACTTTTACCCATAAATATAGCACACCTTAAAACTGTATTTATACATAGACACATTTCATTGAACGTGACAAGGAAAATCTTATAAGATTTTTGATTTAGTTTTTCTATTGTCCTTACAGTTTTCCTTGGGAGGCGGGGTTGAAGGAGAGTGCCAAAACTATCCGTAATTATTATTGTCCCAAGCGCTTTCAGCTAATTCATTAGCCATTTTCAAGGGGTTCGTTATTTTTGCACACGTTACCTCCACCCCAAAATAAAACTATCAGAACATTAGAAAAACTGAGTAAAAATTCATAATATATTCCGTGTCTAATACATATAAACATGCATAAAAGAAAATTTGCTGCCAAAATAATCAATAAGGGGAGGAAGTGTGAGTTTGTAAACAGTGACTATTACTGCTAATAATGCAAGACTCTTCAGTAAAGCGAATCGAGTTCTCTCAGTTACTGTGTGTTTATCTAAAAATATAAATACGCTTAAATTCACCTTCATCCCTGTCGTGCTTAGGGGTAGAATCTCCGACTGACACCATTTCAGCCGGGTTTCGATCCTAGCTAGAGGCAACCACACTGATGAGCTGTGATACAGCGAAACAGTTGTTGTTGACAATATATATATATATATATATATATATCGCCATGCCATGAACATTGTAGCGAACCATCCTCATTCCCTTTGTATTCTGTTGGCGAGATATAACTTCCACTCGAGCAGCTTCTTCCGATGAACCGCTTGCTTTGAGGAACCACCTTCCAAGAGGATGCTTTCCCACTCACAACAATCAAACTTGTTCTAGCCTTTAACCGTTATCTTCCTCACATCCGCATAAACTGTACCTCTTACTCTGTAACACTCTACCTCGATTTGCCCGGGCCTTGCAAATGGTCATACATATATATATATATATATGTGTGTGTGTGTGTGTGTGTGTGTGTGTGTGTGTGTGTGTGTGTATCCACAGATTCGCTAAAAAATGAGCATATCATGATGAAAAAATGCCCCAAACCTAATAAGAACAAAATTTTATTTTCAGAATTATGTTATTATTAAGAGGAAAGACCAAAGGATTTTTTTATGATTAAATTATTTTTTGCTCCTTTTAGCATGTTCGAAATTTT